ACTAACAACAAAGATGTCGTGCTGTCGTAAAATATATACTACCAATTTGATGGCCCTAATATTTCCAAAGTAATTTCTAGTACTTGTGCTCCATTAAACTTGTAAAAACAAACCACTTTCATATTATTAGTTTGTCTAAGAACTAACCCAACTAAAATATTGTACAAATAATCAAACTTACAATGGAACTCGTAAACCTGAAGCCACTCTGCTACAACTATAAACTACTCGTATACTTAGTTATTGTAGTGCCTATTAGTATTATTTCTATTTTTCTGTGCGCTTCCCTTGCCTAAACTATATTTTTCAAAGCGTTATGTTATTGTAAAAAATGCTTTTCACACTCTATAGTAAATAACAAATGTTTTCCTCTACTGTACTTAGCTAAAAGTTTCTTTTTTATATATATAATATTTAATTTCTGAAAACAATTGATTTCTTAACTCTTTAATTACAGCCAAATGAAGCGTTGCCTAATCTACAAAGCTTTAAGGGTTCTAGAACAAGTCTTTTTATGGGCTCGACATTATTTGGCTTTGATCATTTTGGCGGTGGAGAAAAAGACGATAAAAATAAGGATAAAGAAAAAACCCCAACCGAAGAAACAAACAAAAAATTACCGATTATAAATCCACTAGTACGCTTACCAAATTGGCCAAGTAAGTCTTAAATTATTTATTACAAAATATAGGTATAATGTGTTATAATATATTGAATTGAGTTTTAATATTACCATTATATTACTATCAATTTAATTTTTAAACTTACTATAGATCTTACAAATGGAACTGGATTTATATCGAAATGTTTATTGGCAAATGCAGATACTCTTTGTGCCGCTGTTAGTCCACTTATGGATCCCGATGAAACCCTACTTGCTGGATATCACGAAAAGTGCGTTATGAATAATTATTTTGGCATTGGTATTGATGCAAAGATATCACTCGATTTTCATAACAAGCGTGAAGAACATCCAGAAAAGTGTCGATCTCGTGCCAAGAACTACATGTGGTATGGCGTCTTAGGTTCTAAGCAATTATTGCAAAAGACCTGTAAGAACTTAGAGCAACGTGTGCAATTGGAATGCGACGGTCAACGTATACCATTGCCCTCATTGCAGGGCATTGTTATACTTAACATACCAAGGTTTGTTTTTCCACTTCAACACTTTCAATAGATTTTTAAAATTTGTTTTGTAACTTTTTACTTAGTTTTATGGGTGGCACTAATTTCTGGGGTACCTCCAAAAAAGATGATATATTTTTATCACCCAGTTTTGATGATCGCATATTGGAAGTAGTCGCTGTATTTGGGTCTGTACAAATGGCTGCATCCCGTTTAATCAATTTGCAACATCATCGCATTGCACAATGTCAGAGTGTACAAATCAATATACTCGGTGAAGAAGAAATACCCATACAAGTAGATGGTGAAGCTTGGTTACAGCCGCCTGGTATGATACGTATTTTACACAAAAATCGTGTGCAAATGTTATGTCGTAATCGCCATTTGGAAGTATCACTAAAGACTTGGCAGGAGAAACAACGACAACATAGTATTTCTATACAGCGTGAACAATCTTCCACTGCTTCGGAACATGCAATTTCCACCGATGAAGTTATATCGGAACGTGAATGTTATGTATTGCTCAATTTTATAGAAGCCGTCAGTTCGCTAGTGAAGTGGGTGAAATTCTTAATAATTTCACATCCATCATTGCAACATGATTTGTATGCAGTTGCCTGTAGAGCTTCCGAGGCTTTGGAATCAATACACCCAAATGGTAAACTATTAGAGGGTCCTACTTTGAGAACAAAGCTTGTGGAAGTTATTGACTCTTCGAGGCAACTCTACGATGATGCTTGCACTTTGTTACGAGATCGTGGGCATAGTTTAATATTGCGTGAAGATCTCGAGACAAAGTTAAGTGCTGCACTAGCAAATATGGAAATGGAGTTAAAAAAATGTTCAGTGCAAAAATGTATTGACGGCAAGATACGTGCTTATTTCAATGTTTTAGCACCAAATGAAGAGGTAAAAAATTTAATTTTTTTTTAAGTTTATTTAAAAAATATTCAAATTTCCCTTAGGGTGATGGCCGACGCAAGTCTCGTCCATTTTGGGTGCGCCTGCGTTCTGGTTCCACCGCAGGTCAGCAGCAATTCAAACCACCGCTCACCAATACACGTGAAGCTGTCAGCAATTGGAGTGTTAATGAAGTCGTCACTTGGCTGGAGACAATGCAGCTATCTGAATACGTGGACAGTTTTCTTAAAAATGACATACGTGGTAAAGAACTTTTAACTTTGGGTCGTAGAGACTTAAAAGATCTGGGCGTCATTAAGGTAGGACATGTTAAACGCATATTACAGGCTATTAAAGATTTAGGCGAGAATTAAGTGTAAAAAAAAAATTAACAATTAACAAGTGTTTTATTAAATTATTACTTATAATTTAATTGAAAAAAATGCATAAAACAATCATAATTAAGGTTAATTAAGCAGAATTCAAAAGCTGTACTAAAGAGAGCTATATCAGTTAAGAAAGAATGTAATGGGGCGGTTTTTTTTATAGTTTTAGACGTAGGTTAGTGTGCTAATGAAAAGTAACTAAGAATAACGAAAATATTTTCAATTTATTACGACAATTTTTTAAACTAAGTTTTTTTTTTGTTGAAGACCTAATTTTGTAGTTAAACAATTAAAGACAAACTTAAATAATAAAATCTTAATTAGGATTTAAGAAAAAATCTTAAAGATTAGAAATCCAAGTGAATATTTTTTGTTTTATTAATGAAACAATGTCATTAAAAACGAATTTAAATGTAGTAAAAAACTTACAGAAGCACATACAGCATTGAAATATTAAAATAAAAAAAATATTTTTTAAATATTTCTACACAATTTTATAAAAAAGAATTCATTAAATTACTTCTTAAACTTTTTCCTACGCTTATTTAAAAACTAAAGACGAAAATTTTAATTATATAAAACCAAAATAAAATATATTCCAACAAAAAAATTCTAAATTTATAAGCAATTTAATTTTAAATTTATTAAAAAAATCTCTTACTATATATGTATATGTATACTATATTATGTATACACATAAAAAAATATTTATTTACTAAAACTAAACTCGAAGTCGAACAACATTTTTTGGCAATTTATAAATACTTAAATACACTTGAAAGAAAATAAAATATTACTAAATATTATCATTAGAAAAAAAAATTATGAAGAAAAGTCTGTTTAATGTGTCATTTTATGTGGTAATTAAGAAAAATTTTTTAAATTATGTGGTATAATAAAATATAAATTAGTTATTAACTTAAAATTTTTTAAAATTTAGTCCAAAAGTACCTTGATTTTGTGCTAAATTTGAAATTTTCATTGGTTAAATTAAACAACATAAATGCAATAAATAAATTTTTAATTGTTGAATTACATTTTATTACATAAATGAAAGTAATTATATAACATAAATTAATAATAATAAAATAATTATTATTCAATTATAGCTGCATATAAATTTAATTTAAAAACTAGTAATAATTTTGTGAAATAATAAAAAAAAATTATATATATTAATGTGGGAAGCAATTTACCTATAAAAAAGAAGACGTTAAATTATATCATTTCAAAAATAGTTATAAAATAATTAATTTTTTAATTACGTTTATATAAGCAAAATTTAAAATGTTTGTTTAATATTCATTTTACGTAAAATTAATTACATATTAATATAAAAAATTTGTTATTTTAAATGAATGTATTTTCAAAAATTTTTCCATGTCTCCTGTTGAAAAGTTTTTGGAAATGTAATATTAATTTTATTGTGTTATAAAAACCTCTTGTAAACGCCTATTTATTTAATATATGAGCCCAGACGTTTTCAAGAAGTGGCACAATATATATTTAAATAGTAAGTAGTTATAAATATATTTTTTCTTTTTGACAACTTAGTTATATAGTTACTAAATTTTAACAGAAGAGAATAATTAAATTATAGAAAATTGGGGCTGTTTTTTCAAATTTAAATTTTTATTGACAGATTTTTTAATTAATTAATGCATTTATAAGTTAAGAATTTGTTTATTTTTAACAAATAACAAAAAATACAGTATTATACATTTCAAAATAAATAAAATTCATATAAAAATCAAGATATGGCATAATAGCTAGAGATATTTTGGATAAGTAAAAGTATTCAATTATAATATAATGTATAATATAAATTTTTCAGTTTAATTTTTAATATGTTTATTTCATAAAACTATGAGTATCAGCTAGACATAACCCTAGATTTATATGGAAATTATATATCTAATGTATAATTTAGCTTAACGTTGAGTTGTAATATATTTATCGAACATATTACTGAATTCTAATATCAACTCAATTATTTTCATATAAAAGCTAATATGTACATTATAATAGATGAGAAAAACTGATAACATATAAATTACTTCTAAACTAATTTGCTGACTTTATAAATATAGCTATATGTTTAGAGTAGACTAGTTTATTTCATAACTATGTTTATGACAACAATGTTTATGGATTTTATAAAAGATTTGAAGTATTGTTTATTTAATCATTTGATTTTTATTAACTTTTAAAAATATTATTTTAGGATTTTTTCAGATTTTTTAAAATAACTCGATTAAATTAACTTTTCTTTTTATATAAACAATTCGTTAGTTCTATTTATTCAAAAAATTTATTTAAATAGCTCACAAAAAAGTTGACATTCAGTTTCAGAATGATTTGTAATTATAGTTATTAGGACCGTGCTTCTAAAGTCATCTTCGGGGAACATGAATGTTTCCCATATGAATGTTTTACGTGTAAGTTCATAATAATACGTCTATATCTGATGTGCTTTTAAGCTGTTTCTCAACACCTCATGAAATATTCAATTTTTTGATTATTCTTTTGAATATTCTGGAATATTGGTACGGGCTACATTCTATGTTCCCATACCGGTTTCCACTACGCAATAAGCGAATGAAATAAATTTATTGAAGACAAGTCTAGGCAATTGAATATTATTTCAATTAATTAAAATCAATTATGAAGTAATAAACTGATTAGTTCTACTGTCCTAACACCATTACGAGTAATCTAGAATGGGCTTATATTAAATAGAACATAGTTGCAATAACTAAATAACCTCAAACCTAAATTAAAGTCAAGCATTTATAATATTAAAACTCATTCTAACTTTTGTTTATATTGTTTATTGTTTAAAACTAAAAATATAATACATTAAGTAAGAAATGAATAGCCAAGCTAACAATATTAGTTTATTATTATATGTGAATGATGAAAAGAACTTAAACTTTTATATGAGTACTATATATAGACATAAATGATCCATCTGAATCCGATGTATTTGTCTGGTCTTTCTATACTTTTATTTATTTATTTATT